AAAAAAAATGCTGCGTGAAGTGAATAGATCTCGCTTGAGAAAAGAATGGACGCTTGAGCTTATCCTACATTAAAAGTATATCTATATGATAACACCCATATTCTGCAACGTGGACATCAATATTAAACCCAGAAAGCTCGAGATTCGGAAAAGTGGTCTTCCTCTGAGCCTCAGATCTGCTAACTCCGAAAGAAACGAACCTTCTGGTCTTTGGCATCGATGGACTTTTTGGCCCAAACAACATAAATGAGGGCCCCTCAGACGAGTAAGGGAGAGTCGGTAAAAAGAGGATCCGGCACCACACAGTCGCTCTCCTTGAGCCATCCATGAAACAAAAGTTTTCTCGAAGTTTTTCACACAGTTTTCACACATTTCAGTGAAGTTGGTTCCTTGAACCATCGTGTATGAAGGAATGAATTAGATTAGGTTTTCAAGGGTTAGACGGGAAGGGCGACTGCATATTGGAAATGGCTGAAGAATATTTTGAAGGTTACATTCAGGATTCTAGAGAATTGAAACAGTTGACCTGAACATCTGCTATCTCCAAAGGTTGTTCAGTGGGCTTCCATAATACAAGTTCACTTCCATAGTCTCCTACATGATCAAAGTGCTTTAGGGTTAGAGCTTTAAAATAAGCCTCCCATAGGATGAAAATGGGAAATAAAACTTGAAGCAAAAGTTTGATGTCGATCAACTGGCTGTTGACAGTCTCAGTACAAGTCACTACATCTATCCTTACAGGCAAAGATAACATCAAGCCGTGGATCCGGAGGGGACAGAAGGCTCGATCCTTTTTGACGGGTTCTCGATCTTCAATTTGGCCTTCAGGCAGTACAATTGGTAGCTGCGCCACTTGGATTGCCCACCATTCATCGAACTCCTTTGTAGTGTAGTAATTCTCCCTTAAAACAAGCAAATATCGTAACAGTTTTCAGCAAATCCATAAGTAAAATTGTTGTCCACCAAAGCGGCTTCATCAAAAGTTTGGCCAAACTTTGAAAAGACGTAACCAATGTTTCAGGTTTACAAAATCACGTCGTGTCTACTTTAACTGTATGCTCTCCGTTTGTCATCGAACTGACGACGAATGTATGCGCGAAATCGTCAGTTTCTTTCTTTTGCAGAAGCTCTTGTGGCCTTTTGGGTGATCCTCTTTTTGAGCAATAGAGAATAGTAATTCTAGCCGCCTCGATGTCCTCGCACTATACAGAAGCGCCACCTGTCGGACGAGTTTTCCGTAGAGGAACGCCTGGAACGACTGAAAATGGTTTCGGACAATACGACCTATTACGGTAACGAACGATCAGTTGAGTACGACGAACCTCCAATGAGCGACCATTTCGCCACTTTCCCGGACACGGATATCACTCCGACTCTGGAAGGCTTTTCAATCGTCAAAGAAGGTTCTCCTTTTATTGTTTGGTTTTTTTTTCTGTTGCATGACGTGTAACGTAGTTTCTCTCTTGAAATTATCAGTAAAATAGTACAGATTTCGTTCTTCCTCCCAATTTGTCATTAGTTTTCCACGTTGCTCTTTGGTCCAAGAAGGTCGTCAACAACTTTCTGAGTACCTACCCACAGAGAGCTTTTTCAGGACACACGGGACAAAAATTCCATTGCTCCTCCTCCTTCGGATCTGATTGGTAATACACACTCGGGTGATGTGCCTCGGTATGGTAAGCAGGGTGGAGTAGGCCATTCCTCTATCTATTTGAGAATGGCGTACATTCGAATTTGGCGCCCGCGAGCCGGCCCAGGCCCTTCCTCTGAGGTACCTTCAAAGCCGAATTTTCACGAATGCAGAAAGGTGCCCCTGGGCGGTCCTCCCTGATTGAGAGCTTTCATTTTAGCCTAAAGGTCCTCAAAATCCATTGAATTCTGCAGGAGTCCAGCTCAAGTATTGCAAGGTAATGGTAAAAAGTAATGGTTAGTAGCGGTAGTAATACCGATCTTACAACTGGACACAACTGCAAATAATTGGAGAAATTCTCTCCCCAAAAAAACTTTCTTCAGTTTTTTTTTGCCTCCTTACTGCGGGTCCTGTTGTGTTGCGGTTTTTGGTTTAATCCTTATAATTCAAAATTTTCGGTCAGGAGTCTTTTGACCTTTTTAGGTGCCAGCCATCCGAGTGGAGGAGTACTGCCCCGCTGAAATCGGTCCCATTAATCGTGCCACTAAATCGTCCCATTTTTGCAGGATCACTCGTACCAGCTTGTGAATCGTCGTCCGACAACTCACCGTGGATTTACGTTCTGCTCACCACAAACTTTCTTTCGATCTTAATAGTTATTCTGTTGTGTAGTACAGCTCTCAGACATCGTTACTATTTTGATGCCACTAAAAACCATTTGCCTCATCAGTCGTTATTTTGAATGCCTTCATTTGCCTTCTGAAGTTTTTCCATCGGCGCTTCACTTATTTCGCGCGGTTAGGTTTCACTGCTGCAGTAATAAAGGAAACTTTATGATATTCGTAGTGAATAAAAAGCGTGCGAAAATAAAAATTCAATAGAAATCTCAGAAGAACTCTCCGACATTTGTTGTCATTTTCAGCGATCTCTTTTGTTTTGACGGTCTGTAGTGTAGTCGAAGAGAGAGGGCCTTCGGCTATATACAGTAGCACTCAAAAGTCTTCGGTGAACTGGTTCTTCTGTCGTACTTTTCAGTCGTAACTCCTTACCTACTGGATCGAATCTTGCGAAATTTCAATATGTGTAGCATGGGTGTGTTGTGAATATTTGCCACTATTAGCTTGCGATCTGAGAATGCTCCAGATATTCCAAGGATCATCAACTCAAAATCATCTGGAAATACAGATGATGGCCTTTTTAGAATCTCTTTCCTTTTTGTCATGTCTAAAGTGTACGAGCGGTAACGTCGAACACTATAGATGAGAAAAACGCACATAAGGGGCGAATAAGTGCAGACGTCAGTAAGACGTCAGTTTTAGCTCCAGTAAAATCTACTACTGCAACAAACACCTTGCTCTATCTGTGAATATTGCAGCTTCCCAGTCATTTAGTGTTGAGTAGGGTGAAATATGCTCTAGTTGAACATAGCAAAATTTCACGCGATTTGGTCTACTAAGAAAAAAGTTATGAACGAGAAAACGTCAAAGCGTTTGACCGAAGACTTTTGAGCGCTACTGTACGTCCGTTGTCACTGTGTCAAATGGAAATGAGTCCTCCTAACTTTCGTGTACAATATGGCCATTTTCATCGTTAATAGTCTCGAAATATTATGCGTCGTCTTGGTTTTTCACAATTTTGACTCGAAACCATATGATGGCCACAGCTTAGGAAATATGGTCTATGAGATAGACGGAGAATACTGAGATAGTACAGGTTCACGAGTTTCTATTTCTTCAGATTGTATCAGATTAAAATGTTCCGGAGTGGCAATGAATGCCCCAGTATGAAGTTCCCTTTCAAGCATCATCTCAAAATGGAAAATTAAACATCGTTTTACGATTTAAGCAACAGTTCATGGGAGCTGCGTTCTTTGAAGAAGGAGGGGGTTCTTCAGGGACTACATGAGATCTAATTTAGTTGCTGCTTGTCTCGCTAAAAAACCCAGCTCGAATAGTTTGGTTGCAACTTTCTCGGCCTTGGAAGTTGTTGTTGAAACTTGCCATATGCCTTCATCGTTTCCACTCGGTCAACAACAATGACAGAGAATAAAAAGAAGTAAAAAAGCTTCAGTCAAATTCGAAGTTGTTCCTACTCTTCATCCAATCAACATCAGTACATAGGGATTTCGAACTGATCCGCGATTTCTCTCTAA